TGGTGACTGACCTTATGTGACCCAGGAAGTGGAAGAAGCATCTTTTTACCTCTCAGCGAAGATCAATACGAGCCCCTGAAGACCATCTGCCCAGACCATGCCCTTTTCCCCAGCAGGGACAGAAAAGAGCAATTCAAACTACAGATGCTACCTAGGCAGATACTTCTTTCTGTTTTCAGGTGGAAAATGAATTTGTTGCTAGGATTCTTGCTCTGGGAGGGAGGACCGGGTAATGACATAGACATGACATGTGCATGTGTGCGTGTGTACAGACACACACACACACACACTCTGAGCAACTGCTGCAGGGGAGGAGGAGCTGTAGAAACTAGAAGGAAGGGAAAACACCGGTGAGGGAGGAAGAGGTGCTGGTATAGGTGTGAGATGGGGGCAACGTCAACCGCTGTTGCTGTGTGAAGGGAGAGGAGAAGGTGATGCTGGAGGATGGGCAGACAACCCCAAAAAATCAGTTGAAAAGAATGCACTGTCATCCCCCCCCACCCCCACACCCCCTCCTGTGACCACCCCACTCATGACAGCCACGTGCCTCCCCCAAGTGCTCGGGAGCTGCCCAGGGCCCTGGCTGGCGTGGGGTGCCAGACTGAGGTGAGCCAGAGGTTGGGCCTAGGGTGGGCACCTCTTGCCAGAGGCAGCAAAACAGCTGCTAGACAAGAAGCCCCCACAGGACATGCAAAACCCACGGGAATTTTGAGTTTTTTCTTTTGGAGGGTGGGAAACCCTATCTGTACTTGCATACAGGGGCTGGAACAGGCAGGCGTGCCCTGAGATGAGATGTATGCCTGGCGTCTCGCTGCCTGGTCCTGGGCATCTTCTCTCCTGACACTCTCTCACCAATAGCTGCTGCCTTCCTAGCACTGCAAAAACGATGGAGCACAGCGTGGTGGGACACAGGGTTATGCATGGGGCTGAGAAATGAGGTGGAAAAAGACAGCTAGAAAAATCTTGCCAAGCATGCTGCAAGGTCAGTGTTTCAGAGAGTGACTTGTCATTTAAACCCTGGAGCACTTCAAGGCTGCCCTGGGGATGCAGACAGAGAATGCAGCATTGGGGTGCAGAGCAGTGCAGCTGAAAATGCAAACTGCACAAGTTCTCTTAGTAAACTGAAACCAAGAGGAAGTAACAGAGTGCACCAAACCTCAAAAAAACCCACCCAACTTAGCTTTAGAAATTGAAGGTATATTTTTTCATAAATGCGGATGCTTTTTACCTGCTGTAGGTGATATTTAAGCCCCGCTTTTCACCTTTTTTCTAACTAAGAATTTAGATTATTGTCATGATTAGAACCATGAAGACATTCAAGCCTTAGGATGGCTTGGTTTTTAATGAGACATACATGACATCAAAGCTGACCCCTCTGTATATTTCACTCACAAGGTCTGATCACACTGCTACTGCCGACTCCCTAGAGATATCACCCCCCCACTTCATCTCCTCAGGACCCAGTGGAAGAGGGCTTCCATTGTGGGCACCTCGGCAAGTAAGCTCTGCAGGCTGCCCGTACTTTTGGTATCACAGGATCCCAAAGAAAGCCTCTGTTTGAATAAGTGCTGAGATTTGTCTTGCACCTCTAGGTTCGCTAGGCAACTGAAGAGGCGCAGAGAGTTCCCCAGTGTCCTGTGGTCAGGTCCAGCAGCACATGCACAGCAGCTGGTGGGGACCAGTGCCCAGTATGCCCAGACAATCCAGGTCTCCAGATGTTTCCATTTCACTTACCTCTCTGCTGGTGAAGAGCCAAGGGTGCATGCGGGCTTGCTGGCTAGCAATCACTGTCACTGCAGAGGTCTCAATTCAGGCACCAAACCTGCAAGCAGCTTGAATTAAAACATTGCCAGGTGGGGTCTTTGGCTACTTGCTCATCCAAATTACAGCTGTCCCCTACTGTGCCATGGCTGGTTCTATGCCTGTCATGCTGCAGTTCATCTCCCCTCCTTTCTCACTTCCTGATGCACTTCTGGCTGGCCACAAAGCATGAACTTTGCTATCCAAAGCTGATAAGCTGAAACACATCTTATGAAAGCAAATGTAATTGTGAAAGAAGCAACACCCAAGTGTCCTTGCAACTGAGGAGACCTGCCCTGGCTTGTGGTGCCAAATACTTGCTCGTCTTTGCTCTCATGCTAACTCAGCCACCCCCAGGACTGACGGGGAAAATTAAAACATCCCCCTCCCCAAAATATTGCCAAACAGGAGGTGGAAGTGAAATATGGGAAGTGAGAGCAACATTGATTTAATGCCAGTGTAAAGGCTCAGAGTCCTGTCAATCCCATGGGCTTGGGTGCTTTGGGGACGAGCTCCTGCCCGGGGTCCTGCTCTGGTGTGTGTCAGGGACCCAAAAAGAACCAAGCTCTGAAGAGGTCTCGGTGCCTGTGGCAAGCAAAGACATGTTTACCACAGACATTGGTCCCTGTTGTTCAAGGCTACAGGAGGCACAGCGCTAAGAAAGTGCAAGGG